ACTTCTTTATTTTCATGTGAGGGCAGCTGGCGAAGTTGTCCAATGCTGATATCGATAATAGCGACAGCATGACCATCACTATCACGCAATGGAAACGATGTGTGACGTTCACCGTAGGCATCAGCTGTGACAGTCTCTGAGTTGTCAACACACCGGAATAAATAGTCCCTGCATGGAAAATATTGCATACCAACAATTAATTGTTGCAACTTTATATCAGCGAAATATTCTCTTTTTTAATCGCTTTACTATAATAGTAGTTTTGTTTTTGAGGAAGAGGTAAAAATAGAAATAGAAATGTAAATGATCATCAAAATACTAGGAAGCCACCATTTGTCTACATATATATATTATATTTTTGTTTTTTACTGCTAAAGCAACAAAAGACTATCTGGTATTTTATTCAGAGGAGTTTGTCATGTTACAAACTGATTTCTACATCCCTGCATTACATTACCAGTATTTAGCTTGGCATCCCTTGATCCCACAACTTGTGCCCTAGTTATTTGTTTGTACATTCTAAACTCAAGCACAGGATACAAGTGTCCATACAGTGGTTATAATGATCGGAGTGCATACAGTATGATGAAATAAACTGACAGAGCTTCAATGGTAGAGCACCGATACAATTAGTGAATACAGTACCAGCTGGTGAAAAAGACATGTTTTAATTCCAGAATATCAAAGTGGCCATGTCAGAAAAGATGGTTTCATGTTTAAATATTTTCTGGTAGCATAGCTGTAGATTTATTTTCCAGGATAGTATTAAAGGGCAGTGGTCCTCGCATCATGTTCAATATGGGACCCATAGCGATGCATACAACGCAGGTAAAATATACTGTTTGTTTACACGAAATTTGAACAGGCAGCATTCTATGACCACCATCTTTTAATATTTTCTATGACAAGTAGATACATATATATGCACTCAAATCATAAGTATGAATACAAATATAATATGTAGTTCATAATAATTATCCATGCATTAATATTCCGATCTTGACTTTGATAATCAATATTTTAAAGTTTAAATTCTTAAGTTTGATTTCTCAATAATCAGTTCAGTGCAAGTGTTAAATAATAAAGTTAATGTGTACTATTATTGTTTTTTTTTTACTGAATATTTCAGATATACCTGTTTAGTGTGATAAACCATGCCATGCAGGTGTACACTGCTATGGGGATATCATGTATTAGGATTCAATAAATGTGACATGAGTATCTCTATTTATGCATGATTGTTATACACCGTATTTGCTCTATTAGGAGCACATATGTAAATGAAAGAGGTGTGTCTACGGTCAAAATAAGTCAAATTTCAATGATCTAGTATACAATATTATTTAAGATGCTTCTAATAGAGCAAATATGGTCATTTGATATGATGACAGTATCCAACAAACCAGGCAACCCTACTGTAGTAGGGATACAAACCGTGTGTTTACTACTCTAACAGTGTTTAACATGGTGTATGTATCGTATCACCAGTGAAAACCAACTCCATGAAATTTGCAACTTTACTGGCTTAGATGTTTCAGCTATTTTTTCCATATATTGTCCTTTAGTTTTCTATTAACTACAGAATATGGTAAACATGCCAAGTGATTATCTTAAAAATTAGTATTCAACTGTTCAATAAAAATGGTTGCAAATTGGAGCAAATGTCAGAGCAGAATCTGCGGAAATTTGAATGTTGTAAATATACAATCCCACGATATATTTTCTTTGATTGACGTCAGAATATACTCATAATACTAAACTCTAGTGTATCCAAGAGAAAATATTGCAGGATTATATAAAGTAATTTTAGTTTTCATGTGTATATTGTGGAATTGTTGGATACTGTCCTTGAAAAGAGGAGGGTTGTAATAGGTGCAATACTGAGTTGTATAATGATAATGTGTGCCTAAACTAACCAATCAGTGAGCAATAATTCATGCATATATCAATTGGATACCTTTTTCCACAGTGATAAAATATAGGACTGTAGATAAACATATTTGTGTTGGAAATAAAGAAAATAATTAAAAGAAATGCTGTTAGGAAGACAAATAAACAACATTATTACTACTGCACTGCAAAACAATAGAATTTGCAATTCCATAAAAAGCACTTATTCTAAAATGTACGAGTACTCAGTATACTGGATTCCTAAAGTTTTGATGTTGACAACCCCATTTTAATAATGGAAAACAATTTTGTGTAATTTAGAAATGGAATTACTTGAAAATGTATATAAATTGAACAAGCCAGGAGTTAAGCAACCCCACTTTTAGTATTCATTATTTACTAGGAATAAGGTCAGTTAAACAATCAAACCACTACAGGCCTGGGCTGTTAGAGTGCTTGTAAAACTACTTACCAGTCTGATAAATAAACCTACTATGACTACATGGGTACTGTCCAACAGTATTCACAGTGTAAAGCTATTTAGGTCATTTTACTAGAGAGAAATAAAGTGTACTGGTAGTTTATAATGAGTACAGGAGGTGCTATATTTTTCTGCTTGTTTCAATGACTGCAAATAGTATTTCAAACCATAATGAAATGTATAACCAACACTGGAATCAAAGATTAATTATGATATGGTATAGCAATCACACACATAGCTACTATAGTAGTGAAACACAATAAAACTTAGTGTAATAATCTTACCGGAAGAGATTGTCTTTTCTCTCAAGTCTCAATGGTTTGGGATGTACAGTTACCTGTCCTAGCTTGTTAGTAGTAATCATTTTACGTAACACATAATCTTGTTGCTGAAAACGTAGAAAATTCAGAGTTAATATACACCTGTGAAATTATTTTCATGTAATTATACTAACTACTAGACATAGCTTTATTTCCTTTGTTGCTTACAATCTATTTAGATACTACTTCTAATACTGCAATATCTGACTGCCTTAGATCACAATAATGATATTTAAAGCTGGGGGTGAACAGTGCCCTCAAGTATCTAGCTTTGTTTTTAGTGCATGTATGTGTAGATTCATAGAAATCATGACATTTTGAGTTTTCATTTCAGTAGCTGTGATTTAAATGTTTTATAATTACAAACTGGTAAGTGAACAGTAAAAGAAATAGAATTAATATGAGCTTATTACGAAGATACCTCAAAGTATGCACGAAGACAGTACAGCATCAGTATCGACCGACGCGCAGCGGAGGTCGATGCGACAGCATACTGTCTGAGTGCATACTTTGAGGTATCTCTGTAATAACCTTATTATTATACATCTTTTCCTACCAAGGATACATCATGGGAATGCCAAAATCTAAAAAGTTTAGAACAGAATCAGCGAATTTCTTTGTATGGAGTCCGGTTAAATTCTGGTGGCAGCCAAGTTTGTTTTTATTATTAGAGGATTTCCTAATATGGTAGGATGAAAATACCCTGTAAAATACCGCAAAATTACGGCACGCTGTAACCTATGGCGTTACGGTGACAGATGTATAATAATTCTATATATATAATGCAAGCTAAGTGTCAATGTAGATTGCAAATCAATTATTTTATCACCTTGAGGGTAAACTTATTTATTAGGTGTTAAAGATTATTGACAACACATTCGAACACTTTCTAGAAATGCTATCAGCGTGTGATGGATCTTGTCACTAAATGTTCATACAGCACACAATGTTTTTTGTTGTCACTTCGGACTGTTATTTCTCATTTAATAATTACAAGCCGGAAAAAATGTGTAACAATGTTATCGCAAGAATACTATTTTTTTATTGACACAGCACACACTGACTTTGAAAAGTACACAGGTAAGGACACTATACATGTAAACTACAAAATAACACTGCAAAGTATGCACATAGTCAGTACAGAAATGCATCAACCTTTGCTAGGCATCAGTGATACAATCAGTCATACTGCCTTTGTGTATACTTTGTGGGTATTCTTGTGATACTTTCATAGTAATACCAGCCACTGCACTCAAGTACTGAGAACAAACAAGGCACAGCAAAGCAATCAAAGCACAACAAAGCACAAGAC